AAAAGTTAATTCCTTGCCACAAGTTTTACACTTAACCTTATTTTGTAAAATTAGTTGAGTAAAAATGGCCAAACAATAGATGTTTCTGTCCGTTTGGTACGCTGTCTAGAAAAAGTAGGGGTAGTAACAGGAGGGTCAGATGGGGCATCATTTGGATTATCATTAGTTGGGTTAACTTCAGGAGTAGGATTAGTGGGTGTATCGTCATCCGATTGCGTTTCATCAAAATCTTTTTCCTCCTCATCATTTTCATCAATAGTTGGATTAGAATAAAGAGCATTCATTAATTCATGGTCTAATTGTTCACCAACTCCAACATTATGGCAAAATTGACTCTCAGTAAATTGTAATAAACTATTATCACTATCAAGAATAGCAGGTGTAGGATGGGTACGAGGTTTGGGTCGGGGAGCCGGGAAAAGTGGAGGAGGAACAGATTGGCCACTAGATTCGCCACTCTTGGGTTTTTCCTTATTTTTACCAAAATTTTTAAGGAAGACATCGTAATTAATCAAATAATAGAAAATAAATAAAACAAACAAAATTATAATATTAAAAATTAAGAGTTGGAACGAGTTTACCGAATTGACGAACAACTTGTTGAAAATTGATTATCGTTGAAGACTTCAATTCACCAACTTCATAATTTTTTCACAAATTGTAACAATAAAGTAAGCAATAGTAGCAAATAACAATTATAGAAGAAATTAGAGAGAGGTTGATGATTTTGTGAGAAAAATGAAAGAATGAGAGGTATTTATAGTTAAGAAAAGGGAAAAAGTGTAATTATAAAACGTTTGAGGTTAAAACAAAGTTGGGGGTTACAACTATTTTTTAAAGGCCAACGACCAGATTTTTGGAATCTCAAATGGTCAGATTATTTTTTTTAAATTCTGACCGTTTGGGATCGTTTAGGCCCGCCAAGGACCGGTCCGGTCCCGGTCTCGCGGGCTCAATTTGAAGGACCGGCCCAGAAGACCGGCCCACCTCCACGGTCACGGGCTTATCCGGTTAAGGACCGTTTAGGCCCAGAAGCCCACATGGGCCGCGGTCCCGGGCCTGGACCGCCCCACTTGTCAGCCTTATTCCTGTGCCTTAACACCTGAATTAGTTGCACTAACCAAAACGTTCGCACCTTCAGCACCTTGCCCCTCAACATGCATATCAGTAGCTTTCAAACCTGCTTGCTTTTCAACTTCAAGCGCAACAGTAGGTTNTTAAAGTTGTCTGATTTTGTAAAGCTGATCCAACAGTCTGGTAAATCCTCGCCAAAGCTGTAGCAGCTCCTTGATCCACCAGTGTAACTCCTCGATCATGTACCCCTACATGAGGCACGTTTGACCCTTTCAAAACAGCAACTTTAGGTGTGGGATGAATTGTATTAATTGTAGCAGCAGGTTCTTGTAAAACCTGGTGAAGTTGCCCAGGTGCAAGACGATTAATCGTGGTATCTTTAACATACTGCACATCATCTGGAAAATCCTCTGAATCCCTGCGTAAGGTTGCTTCAACTGGGACTGCAACAATCCCAGTAACAACAGCTGAATTTTGCACATGAATATTACCTGATCCTTGATGAGCGGCATGTCTATTACCAGTTATTGCGCTATCTTTCAGAAGTCCAGATGAGCCTCGAGCACCCACATCATCGTATAGCCTAGGCAGAACTCACGTTCCACAGCTGCCTTCAAAGCAGCATCATCCTTCAAATTTGGACATTCTCGATTCTGCCCAGAATTTTCAACAGCTGAAACCACATCTAAACCTGCATTTACAGTATGCTTTCCTTGATTTCCAGTTTCCTGTAACTTCCACATCTAACCACACCACACACAATAGTTTGGCCTTCCCAGTTCTTTTTACCTCTAATCCTTGCGCTACGCTAGCCAAAGCTCGACCAACTGGGATCTCCAACAACGTAGTTTTCTGCTTAAAGTTTTTCCCAGACTCTGCTACGACCAATACCTTTTTTCCATCCCTGGCACAGTATAAACTTGTTGATTTTTACATACTTGCACTTGCAATATCTTCTGCTGCTCCACGCTTTGATCTTGAAGTGATTGTTCTACCACTTGTTGGCCAGCTCTCTTTTCATTCAAAAACTCCCTAGCATCCCCTTTTAAAGGTTCTACACAAGTCATCTGGTCCATAGGTAGCAGCTCATGCTCTGCCCTGTTCTCCTTCTCAGTGCGACCACCTTCATTAGCCTTAGCCATCATCAAACGACATGAAATATCTTCATGTTTTTCACCATCTCGCTTTTGCCCAGCATTAGCCACAACCAAGTCTCCATTAACCTTTTCAACCATAGTAGCACTCTGCTGTCCTCCATCAGGTTGCAAACTCAACTGTTGCACACCAATGTTTCTATCTTCTTTTGAAACATCATCCACCAGCTGGCCAGCTCTTTTGGCATTAAGATATTCCCTAGCATCTCCTTTTAATTTCTCAACACTGGACATGTCTTCAACATAGTTCCCAACATCCTCGATCTTTTTCTTTAGAAGCACACGGCATACCTCTTCTTCATGTCTTTGGCGCTTACAAAAGGTACAATAACCTGGAAGATTATCATATATGACCTCTTGAAACACCTCCACAACCTTACCGGATGCATTATCAGCGTGTTGAAGATGAATACGCTTTGGCAGTTTATCTACAAGATCAAGAATAACCTTCACCCTAGCAGTGCTAGGTCTAGATTTCACCTGTGTCGCTTTGTCTATAGCGATTGGTTTACCCACTGCCGATGCTATTGATAGCAAGGATTTTCGAGCAAATAATTCTGGAGATAAGTTTGGTAATGAAATCCAAACTGCAGCCTTTGTCGTTTCCTCCTTAGGGTTGAATCCAACAGTCCAAGGGAATACCCTATACTGATGTTCTTCGCCACTATGCGAAAAATAATTCACTGCTCGTGCTAATGCGATGTCAAAATCCTCAGACTGATCTAGTCTAAATAGAATTTGACGGGGGGCTAGATGACCAACCAAACAATGACCCTTGATACCTAGAATTTTTGGCAGTAGGGTTCTTAAAACCTGTAACTCCAGCGCTCGTGGGGATAACTTCAGCACGACTACTTGATGCAGTCCTTCTTCAACAGCGAAAGTGTGTCTTTCCTCCATTGTAAATTGTATGGTAGGTTCTCCGTGAACAATTTGGACAGGTTTTAAAATTAGTTTCGTCGAGTTTGAGGCAGATTGGTTTGCAAACAATTGCGAAGCATAGGATTATTGAACCTTGTTGTTAGGGACGTGCTCGCTAGGATTTTGATTGGACTCTCCCACAGCTTGGAGCTGGGGAGAGACGATGGCAGCCATGGATGCTCAAATCGCCACCATGTCACCCTAGAGAGAGGAGAGAGGAGATACCGACTTTTAGTAGCTCAGCCGTTTTTTTTTTTGAATAAAGAAACACCCCTTTATATAGAGAGGACCTAAAAAAGAGGGAAATAAATTTCTAAACTAATTTAAACAACAAATCCAACTACCTTGAGAAAAGAAAAAATATTAGTAAAGTAACTTCAACAATCTTAGGAAAAGAAAAATATAACCTTAACTACCTAAAAAAATAATAAATTTAGTATCAAAATATATGGAAATAAGTTAAAACCAATTTATGATAGGATTTTGAAAGTCTCAAACCAATCATGGATAGGATCTTGAAAATGTTAAAGGTAACTTGCAAGCAACTTGGCATCAACTTGTACCCAACTTCTATCACGCCTATTGAACCTTTCTTGTGCAGCAAGTAAGTCTTTTTTATGTTATAAAAATATGACTTTGTGTAGGACTTATTGAGTTGCAAGTTTGGACACATTTTTAGGTGCCAAATAGGTCCAATAGTGGCCTGATTTGGACCTTCTTTAGAGGATGTCTCTTGGGATCTAATCAACCTCTTCTTGGCCATGAATTTGGACTATAAAATAATTATAATACCTAGACAACTCATATACTTTATACTTGAGCTCCCCATCCCAATTAACAACTTCTAATGACCTTGTTTTGCAATTCTTTAGCTTGACATCTTTTTAAAGGCCCTTTTTGAGATTCCAAAACTTCATTCTTGTCCGTGAATAGATTTGAGCTTCCTAGAACGGTATCACAAATAGACGTTGCCTATGATTAAGTATCAAACACTAGTATTTCACCACTTATTGCACATTTATTAGTCACTGACAACAGCCATAGTCATGTCACATATCAGCATCCCTTTCTTCCCCATCTACCACGAGGATTGAAACGACACAAAAATCCAGACTGTAAAGGAGAAGGGCTCGAGGGGGCAGTTGTGAAAGTCGAGCTGATCGGGTTTTTTTCGTTCAAGCGAAGGTCCAGAAGAAGAACGAAACAAAAGTGGGAAGATCCAACTTAATTTCCTTTAGGTAGGAAAATCAGTTAATAAAATGTGTCTTCTTCCTTCCTTTATCCGCAATCCAGATTCAGTAATCTACTCGTGGAACTCGATAATGAATCCTGGTTGAATAAGCAGCTTAACATTAGAACCCATCAACTGAGTCTTCTATACATTTCGAAACTTTCTAATTATTCTCAAACGCGCAAGGTAAGGTAAAACCTTTGGGAGGTCCTTCTGTTTATCTTTTAACTTTTCACTTTTTCTTCCAAAGTCACTTCGACGTTCCCTTCCCAGATCAGCTTCCAGTATGACTAATGTAACATCTGATGCCAGCCAAAGGATATCTCTTCGGCCAAATAAATTTGCCCAATTGACTCGTCAAAGATGTTAAAAATACCTAGGCAGCAGTGACAATTGTCCGCCATATTCACTAAAGCACCCATCGCCAAATTATATATTCACAAAATTGCGTATCAATTCTACAAAGAGCTGCGGAAATTTATGCTGTGAGATGTATAACTACAGCATAATCAACAAATGTGCTTCATGATGGAACAATCTCTCCTGTTACCCATCTGCTTTCCCTCTCGGCTGAAAATTTTCTGCCTCATACATCAAACAGGATTTTAAGTACAGCTACAAAGAAAAAAACCGACTGCTTCTGTTTGCATGATATATCTATGAAGCTTTGTGCGGAGATACACATACCATTAAAGGGGTCAATCATGACTCAAACAATAACTAAATTCTGCCTTAAATGAACTGTCACTTATATCTTTAACAACTAAACCACTTGTTGCACATTAAGATGATACAAAAAAGAGAGGCAGTCCAACAAAAAGTAGAACCAGAAGGTTCAGAACCTCAAACTGTGCCAAGGCTCAACGAGCAGCTCCCACGCATTATTTCTTTGTTTGAGAGATAAACTTGGTTAGGACATAACAGTCTGGTGGAGTAATGTTTGTGTAATAGTTTTGGACTGTATTGGTAACCTCAAAACCAAATTTCTTGTAGAAGTTGATGGCATCTTCATTACTTGTCTGTACATGCAAGTAAATCTCTTTGATATTCTGCTTTGTACAAAGATCAAGCACGTGATTTAACAGCTTTGTACCTGCACAGTATGAGAAACATGATGAATACATAAGAGTTCAATTATAGACATATCAGGAGAAAGTGCAGATCAGTTGAATTCTCTGCAGCTACTCAGCTACTCATCTTCAGAAAGAATAGTTCAATACCTTTTCATAAATCTCAGATTTTAGCTGCTGCATTTTAACAGAAAATTCAAAGACCAAAAGAAAAGATACTGATACTTAAAAAAAAGGATTAAGAAAAATGATATAGTGAAGTATGGGGGTTCTATCAATACACAAATGTTCTGTGGTAAACATGAAAGGGAAAGAGGAAAGTTTAGTGTTAAAATTCACTCTGAACAAGGTGGGCAAGATAAGCTGATCACTTACCAATTCCTAGACCACGATATGGAGCTAAAACACCCAAAGTCATTATGTAAATACGAACAGCTCCACCTTCCTTCTTCTCAAGTCGACATGCAACTGAGCCTACACAAATGTCACTATAATATGCTGCAGGAAAAAAAATAATCAAAACAGGTCAGATATTTGAAATATCCAAGATTATACAGAGGAAAGAGGATACCAGACAGAGGAAACAGGTCACCTTCTCATACTATAGGGACACCCCCCCACCCCCCACCCATTAAAACAATAATCAAATGACAAATCATTATCTCTACCACTTGCAGAAAAAGTTTATCAAGTTGAACTTTGCTCCAAAAGGTGAGGTATGATCACTAAATATCCATACTACTTTCTCTATTGACCCATAAGGAAGAAGTGTAATCCAATAATTTCACATGCTTCTTTTATTTCTCTCATTTAAGCAAACAATGTTCTTCAAGAACTTTTTAGGAAGTGGTCATCATACATTGTTATTTGATTCTATAATAATCCTAACGAGGAGAAGAACTGCATCTTTAACTTGCCATTGTTTCAAATGAACAGCCGATCATGCTTCAAGCAACAATTATTACTGTACTTATTTATGTTAAATGAACACGCTCACTGTCATTTGTTAATTTATATTCCTCCATTAAAGGGCGTGTTTTGTGAACTATAGTACCAAAGCTTGCACAAGACCTAGTTACTGGAAACTTTAATAGAGAGTCAATCACACAATGCTCAAGAGCATCAGATCTTACTTTTAAGGTAAAAGTTCTCCACTTTATAAAGAAACTGTTTAAGCGAATTAAAGGGTCCATTGCAAGATAGCTCCCCCAAACACCCATGGAAATTTAAGGGAAAAAAATAATATGTACAATCCATAAGCAGATATTCACATACTCCCTCTGTTTCAATTTATGTGAACCTATTTGACTGGGCACGGAATTTAAAAAAAAAAAGAGAAAACTTTTGAACTTGTGGTGTTAAATGAGGCACATATATTTTGTGTGACTATAAATCATTGCATAAGGTAAATAGTTTCCAAATATGGAAAGGGATTAATCTTTTTGGCACCGACTAAAAAGGAAATAAGTTCACATAAATTGAAATGGAGGGAGTAATATTTTTCAAATAAAAATAAGGTCTTCTTATTCTTATACTTCACTACTTGAACAACAAGAAACACGATGGGCATTTCATAGCATGTCATGAGCACTGCACTAAGGGGGAACAGATGTCTGGAAAATATTAATATGATGTTGCAGCTGTATATGCATTCGGATAAGTTGAGATTTCTGAGATTGCAACAATTTGGTGGTAAAGACATAGACAACTACATCAGATTTCAACCCAAGCTAATCTAGCAAATGGAGAAGAGAAAGATCAAAGTATCAGCCATACAAAACCAAATGTATCAAGCATCAGGTGCCCTAACAGATATGACACAATAAAATGGTTCCTTTTTTTCTTAATCTTTTGGAGATATAAGTTTATCCAAATATTCCAGAGGGAAAAACTACAAAATCAAGCAAAAATTTCAGTTGGATTCTAATAGGATTCAGGAAAAATAGGAATTCGACATAGTGCAAAAAGATAGTCTAGCAATCAGTGGTCAGGCATAGGGCAGTCGACTGCAGCAATCGACCATCTTTGAGCAACAACAAAAAGAAGGACCATTTCCACTTTTGACCCATCCTTTGTCCCTTGGAGAGTCCTCTAACCACTTAAACCTAGAACTCGTGCAGGGTAAAGCTCCATACTACAAACCCCAGTTTTGTTCCCTTTTATGGAGCTAGACTTGAGTTGTTGCACCAGATACACAACATTCTCTCTTCATTTGTCATCTTCCTCTCCCATCCTTTGTCTCCTGAATGTCCTCCATTTGCTTCTTGATTCCTTCACTTCCTACTTTGGGCATAGACTCAAAACCTGCTATTACTATTACTACTATTATTAGACTCCGATTGTGTCCCTATTCTTATAAATACTACATAATCCAGAAAAGAGGAAAAATACAAGAGAAAGATTTCCCTGAACGTCTGACCTTCAACGTGCTTGTGACAAACTGGAGCCAAATAGGTTTACCTTCTAAATTCTGCATTGAATCTATTTACCTTGGCTTACTTGCCATCATAAGCACCAACCATGGATATTACTCTTACCCTGTCTTTTCCAAGGACACTTATCGTTGCTTTTTTATGAGGGTTCTAGTTACCGAAGCTTAGTGTTGGAAACTGGCATCAAAATAACAGCATGAAAAATTAAAATATAGAGTTCAAAACTTCAAGTTACTCATTTGAACTTCTCCCTTGAAAACAGAACTGATTAGATTAATTTGATAGAATATACACAATACCTCATTTTGATGTAGCGGAGTGAATTGTGGTGCATGTCGTGCATCAGCTAGTTTCTTTGCTATGTAAGAGAAGCATGGCAAAGTTAGCTTCCAGAGTGGATCTTATATAAAGAGCTCCAAGCTGATATATATTTTATCCTCTCAATTGTATGTTAGCATGAATATCTTAAATCATAAACACAACTTAGAACCATCCATAAAACCATGAAATAATACCAGTGCCAATAGAAACACATTGAATTAACATCAACCCTCAAAACACCCAACACAAATCACCACAACTACTACTAATCCAATACTAATATGAAATACTAAACACTAACACTATTTACAGGAAGAATGAAAGAGATTCGATTTCAAATAGCATTGAACATAAACACACAAAAAAACTTGACTAGCAAGAACACAAGCAACAGCCGAAGCAGCACCAAATAGAGATTAAAAAAAGAAGAAGAGAAACATCAGAATATTCTCGACCTCCAGATACACCAGGCAGTAGGATTCACATAACTGATTCATTCACGTCAAAGTTTACTCCAACTCTATCAAATTAATCCTCGAAACAGAGAGATAGACTTCGGAAATTCCAGAAAACCCCAGAAATGAAAACGAACCTAGCTTAGTGAAATCACCAGAGGCAAGGGCATCGGAGTAGTATTTATGATTGTAACGAATAGGGAAGAGTGCAGTGTTGATCTTCCTCAGTTGCATCATGTTCTTGTCTCTTACATTGTCCAATGAGATGATCACTTCACGCCCTGCACCCATTTGTGTGTTGTTGAGAGTTGAGACTCGAGACTCGAGAGATTGGACAGTATAAGGCGCAAAAGGGTATGTGCATTTGGCGTTGGAAGAAGAAAATGATATTGCGACAAAACGATATCGTAATTAGGTGGAAAATTGGTATTTTACTCTTGTCAGAGTGGAGTGGTCCTAACATGTAAGGCGCATTTATTACTGTTATATTGGGCCGGTCCTAAACTTCAATAAAAAATGTAAAAAAATTCTAGTTTAAAGAAGTCAATTTATTGAAATGAAATTGGTCCAAACAGTGTGAGCTGGATAGCAAGAATTATGAATTTTGAATCCAAATTAATGCTTAATTGTTGTAATCTCAGTCCAATAAGTAAAATCAGTACAAAATCTTGGGTCAATTGATTTTTTGCCTTTTACAAACTTATTTTTAGTTTTATAACCCTATTTTTTTTAATTTACTTTTACACGTAAGAGATTTAAAAAAAATATTTTCTTAAATTTAATATTATAAAAGACCTTGCAAGCCTAAAACCTCCGAAAATTTTCATGTAAATTTCTAACGGTAATGAAAATTTTATATATTTCTTCAATACCTTTTAATTAAATTGATAATGAAAATTATTTCCACCACTATTCGCACGTGCACAAGGTATCTTCATTGTAATATTCTTCCGACACGTGTCCACGTTACATTGTCATCTGAGTAGAGGAGCAAACAAGGTATTTGCACAGAAGAGAAAGAAAGGAAATGGGAAAACCAAAGGCAGTGATAATTGGAGGAAGCATAGGAGGTATATGCAGTGCACATGCTCTGATCAGAGCAGGTTGGGAAGTGGTGGTTCTTGAGAAAACTCCAGCACCTCCAAGTGGTAGCCCCACTGGTGCTGGTCTTGGACTTGACCCTTTCTCTCAGCAAATCATTCAATCTTGGCTTCAACAATCCCACCTCCTTCAACAAACCACCTTGCCTCTTACAGTTGATCAAGTAAGTATACATCAAGAATCCCATCATTTTTTTTAACAAGTTAGCATATTTTGCTCTATTTACTAGAGAGTAGCTATTTGTTTTTACAGTTAGCTGATTGTATGTGTTTGCTGTTTTCTTTTTTTCTTTTTTTGGGGGTTTTTCTGTCTGCTTTATAAGATACTGTTGCAATTTTTTTTTTTATTTTACCCTGTTCCATCAATATTATAGTCATATAATTTCATAAAGTTCAAGAATTCAATTTTTTTAGTTAAATTAATACTTTTATTTGCTGTTTTGTTTGTTAAACCAAAATTTCAACTATTAATTTATATTTCAAATTAAATTAACAATCTTAAATTTTATACCATGTCAAGTAGTGTCAGATAAAATGAGCTAACCGGGAAAGTATTATTTACAGTATAAGATGCTAATAGTCAATAATTTAGGACTTTTCTTGAAAGAGTTAAGGAAGGCTCGAGTCCTATATATATGACTATATATGTATAATGGTAGTTTCATTACTAGCTTGCACCTCGACTAATCCATTGGGCAGCCTGCTACACCCACAAGAATAGGTGTTGGATAATCCTGCCCACCAAAGTTGGAGCAAATGGGTTCACGCTTAGTGTTGTACTCCTGTATGAACTTAAGATTTCCATGTTGTTACTCCTATGCCTCAACCACTCAGCGATTCCTTTTGTGATCTGGCTAGTAAAAGATAGAGAGGGGTGATATTTCAATAAGTAAATTAACACCCTGTGTCATGAAAGAATCATCATATGCCCCTCTATTTAATTGTCTTTATAGTATGGAAGGGGAAAAACTGGAAGCGGTACTATGGTACTCTTTCAACAAGTGATGAATAATGTCTTATGAACTTTAAATGATCATTACGGAGTATGTTTTGGTGTATGCTTAGCTTCAAGTTGTTCATCATCGGCCTGCAATGTCAACACTCACGACAAAAATGTTTTTTCAGTCAATAACTATAATTCTTGAAACATTTGATTCTGAAAACTTATGGGCATCACAGCAGAGTCTCACTTATAAACTGAGGTACAAGAGAAACCAGTAGAAAATCTCTTTTTAGAGATTAGCTAAAGTGTGAATACTTGTAAGAATAGTTCTTTTATTAGCCCAGGGATTTGGAACATGAAAGGAATGTAGGACAATCGGTTCTGCGGTAGCAAACATGAGGAACTATGCATATTTTTTAAATTGGTAACGTGAGGGACCATATTTACATTTCATACTATGAGTTAAAAAGATACTGATCCTATTTTGATGTCTTCTTTCTCATCGTTAATATGCGTTAATTTATAGTTAGAAGTTAACATTGAAGTGAGTTGTTGGCATGTTTAATGTCTATCTGCATTTAGCACTTGATTTAAGATCCACATAAGCAAATGATTGCAATTCTTCCTTCACTGGGAGGCAATGAAATCTACTCCCAATGATCAATGGCGGGCCAGAATTTTGCGCAGTGGGTTTAGTTGGAGATGACAGTCGCCGAAAATACGCGAAGCATCGGGTACGACAAGTGGTCGTAACTTTAGCCTACTGTTTGCACATCCACACTTCTTGGACACACGTGCGTCTGCCCTGCTAGTGATGTGTCTAAGTTTTCAATCGCGAATTAGTTAAAATTTTGGAATTCCTCAATTTGGATTTTCATCCCGCCCTCATTCGTGAACTTATGGTCAACTACAGAACCAGGCAACTGATGGAGAAACAAAAGTGAGCCGGACGTTGGCAAGGGATGAACATTTCAATTTCAGAGCAGCTTATTGGGCTGATCTCTATAGCCTTTTGTATGGTGCACTACCCCTAGATATTGTTTTCTGGGGTTATTTGTTTCTCTCCTTTTCCATATATGATGATAAATCAAAAGTGAGAGTCGAAACTAAAGTTCTTCAAACGGGCATTACAATTGACATTGTTGCTGATTTGCTTATTGCTGCTGATGGTTGTCTGTCTTCAATCAGACAAAGTTTCCTTCCCGGCCTTAAACTAAGGTTAGTATATAAAGTCAACTAATGTTCTTCTTTTCCTGGCTTTTAATCGAGGAAAAGCAACAGTTTGGTGCTTTTAACGACACACTTATTTTCTGGTAGATATTCAGGTTACTGTGCATGGAGAGGGGTTCTTGATTTTTCCGATAAGAAACACTCAGAAGCCATTATTAGCCTTAAGAAATTGTATCCAGATCTTGGGGAATGCCTGTACTTTGACCTGAGCTCTCGAACTCATAGTGTATTTTATGAGCTATTGAACCAGAGGTTCAACTGGATATGGTACATTAATCAGCCCGAACCAAACCTCAAGGTATGAGCTTGTCAAATGCACTGACATGGTTGCTAAAGTAATGTCAATCATGAATGAATGTTCAGATTTACGCTGATAAGAGAGTTTAGTTGTGGGTTGTGATAAGCTGATGACCAGGGTAAAATAATCAATTACTCCTTCTGTTTCAGTTTATGTGGCATAGTTTGACTGGGCACGAAGTTTAAGAAAGAAATGATCGATTTTCGAAACTTATTCTTAAAACATACCATAACATTTGTGTGATTATAAAAAGCTTGTCATTGAAGGTAAAATTGGAAGTTAAGTTAAATAGTTTCCAAATTTAGAAAGCCACTGCTTCTTGGAACGGACTAATAAGGAAATGCTGCCACATAAACTCGAATAGATAGAGTATTATGAATCCTCTTATTAAGTATTGGAATGATGGACCTGTATAAAGCAAAGTGATATAGAGGATTCATATGGTAAATCACAATAGATTTGGAATCAAAGACGCGGTTGATTGATTTAAAGTGAACGTAGAACTGTTGTTCATCATGAATGGATCAACATATAGTTCCATTAGATCAGATAATGATTGGAAACTAGGAGAGTGAATGGAGGTTTGCAGGAACACTTTTGCAACCACATATCTGATATACAATTGAAGATGGAAGTACAACACATTTTGAGTGTTCACTAGTGGGGGAGACAAGGGGACTTTGAAGTTTGATATCTTTAAGTTTTTTTTCCTACAACAGTAATTTGAGTGTTGTCCATTTTTATTGAAAGGATTAATTCTGAAAACCAATAATCTGTATTGAAATTCAGGGGAATTCTGTGACCATGAAGGTTAACGAGAACTTGATTCAGAACATGCATGAAGAAGCTGAGAAGACTTGGGCTCCTGAATTGGTCAGGGTAATTAAAGAAATTAAGGAGCCTTTCCTAAATGTGATATATGATTGTGATCCTTTGGAGCAAATTTTCTGGGACAAAGTAGTGTTAATTGGAGATGCAGCTCACCCTACTACTCCTCATGGTTTGAGAAGTACAAACATGTCAATATTGGATGCAGCTGTTTTAGGCAAATGCTTAGAGAAGTGGGGAGTGGAAAACCTGAACTCTGCCCTCGAAGAGTATCAGTCCATTCGGCTTCCAGTTGCCACAAAGCAGGTTCTACATTCAAGGAGACTAGGTCGCATTAAACAAGGTTTATCACTTTCAGATCGTCCGTCCTTTGATCCAAAAACTACAAGTGCAGAAGATTGTGAAGAGCTTCAGCAGAAAAACATGCCTTATTTCAATGATATTCCTTCCATATTGAAGTAACATCACTGGTTTTTATTGTCTGCATGATTAAGCCTCGAGCATTTTGTATATTTGTTCAAGTTGCCTAGGATTGTGTGTATTCCGATGCACCCAATGTATAGCAGCAGAGTTATTGTTTAATTTGTTTAGAATTTACGACCTCATGAATGTAGTGAACTGTAAATAAAGTTGATACTGGACAGTAAATAAAATTCTCTATCATTTCCTAAACACGCAGAGTTATCGTCATTGCTTCTGGAAAAAAATTCAGAACCTCATGTATGATATGATATGAAATGTAAGTGAAGTTGATAGTCAGTTCACATAATTCAACATGTATCAACAGACATTAAGCTTGATTTTCACTGTCATTTGTTTCCTCTGTATGTGTAGGCATCTTTCGTGCCTAAAGTAATTAAAATCTCACATCTAACAGGTTAGAAATTCACACAAATTAACAAATGTTTCCCCTTTAGCATACTTGGTGTAGTATATGTTAATTTGCTGTTAAATTAACCAAGAATATGAAAGCTTATAACGGTTGCCCAACTGTCGGCAAGATTTTTTGACGCCTTTG